TATTCAAACTCATAAGTCGAAGTCAAACTTACAATGCCATGACAAAGAAACAAAAAACGAGCAAAAAGAGAATATTTTGGAAGTTCCTGCCTCCAGGTAATTACGAGTATTCAAGCTACTGCAGACTTAATATCTTTTGCCACCCTCAATTTGAAAATAAAAAGTTGACTCGGTTATTCTAATTTTTTCTCGGGTTAGTTGTTTTTTATAACTATTTTCTCCGTATACTATTCATTATATTGTCTTCTGTATGAATATTTGAACTATTAAATGGTTTCACTTTGTAAAAGAATTAGTAGGTTTGCTTTTTTGGCATTAAAAATAATTGTTACTACAGAATCAGCAGTAGCTGTGTAATTGTTAATTCATTTGCCCTTTTAACACCATATTTAATTAGTGTGACTATGTAACTTTTCTGAGTGAGACTTTCTATAGTTCTTCCATTATAATTTTTGACAGGTCTTCATTTGCATCTATAGCACAAATACGTCTTGCCATACAGAAGGGAATGATCTGCCTTTTATGTTAAAGACAATAGTACTTAGTAGTTTACTGATGTTCGTATGCGACAGATAACACGTGTATCAATTTTCTTTAAAAAATACATCTGTAGTTATTTGACCATTTGTTTATATAATCAAAAGCTCTTAAAAGGGCAACTGCTCTGTACTGCTTTTCGTAATAAATTTGATGAAGGGTGCAGAGAGTTTTATCATATCGTGTAGTATGGTCAAATCTAATTGTTAAAATAATAAAGCAACCGACGATATATTGTTACCATTCATTTAGAAAAAAATAAAATAACAAAAATACCGAACTCCGAGGAAAATTCTAAACGGAAAGTCCCTAAGCAAATAGCAAAATCAAGAGCGCAAGCACATCAAACGAATGGATAACAACTGTCATATTCCTGACTTGATACCGGCATTTTCTTATGTAGAAAATGGTGGATTAAACCTGGTTTTATAGCTAGCTAAACCTCTCACTTGTATGACAGTCGCATAAAATTCCATTATATTGACAACGATATGTGAACAAAACAAACAGACATAATAGGTAAAAATGTCTAAAATAGGGGTACAGCAGTCAACAATGTGTTATAAAATTGAGAACGAAAATGGGGAATATGTCAAAGAGACAACAACCCGACCAAAGAGCAGACAACAGCCGAAGTAATCTTAATTACTACAAAAACAAACAAATATGTCAACAAAGAAAAACAAAAAGGCATATAGACAAAGCACATTAGCAAAACGAAAGTCAAGAATACAAAAATTTACCATAGCACAATAACACAATGATGGGATGTATAAGTACCGAGCCACGTCAAATGGATATAACCAAAAATAGACTAAAAAGTAAAAGTAATAATTTACAAAGACAAATAAAAACTATAACACGTTATTAAGATGATAAACAACGTCAGTACCTAGAATCTATACTTCAAGACCAGCGTGTATTATTTGTGAAGTTGATACGGAATATTTATCAACAAGGTCTTGGTATCTTCCGATGAACTTTTTAGAAAAAGGACGAGAAGTTCTTTGACATAACCCTGGTTCATCAACTTTCTGTTCAGACACTGGTGACGTTTTACAAAGTCTGAGTAGCAGCTGCAAGGTCTTGAATACCGAATGAGTTGGGGAATGTATATCCAATATGCAGGGGAAGTTGGTATTTGCTACTAAGGTGAGGGAAATTGATATTTTCAAAATTAAAATCGTCTCGTTTGTCATAGATTCTGGTACTGACATGACCGCTTGTGTCAAACTCGAGGTATCTATACTACTAAAGGAAGAGCCCGATTTCACTGAGCCGCAACTCCTCTGAAACCATACAAAGTCGGAAATATTTGTGATATGACGTATAAATGTAGTGTTTTGTACTTCATAAATTTGTCTTTGAAACAATCTTTTTTCAACAGAAAACGCCAAGTTTTGAGAGAATATCCAAATTTGGAGACCGTTATCGATCCGTGTCTTATACGCTTTCGAGCATACACAGTCGACGTAATACTAAATAACGAGGTCCAATTTGTTAGCCGGCATGGGGGTAAAAACGACGAATCAAAGAAATCAACTTTATATATAACTAATATAGGACAATGGTGTTGATTAAACGTTACACAATTCCAGGGCCTTTTGTTTTCCACATAATTAATGTTATCAATAACTAACAAGTTCCGGGTCGAATCCGATACCGATACCAATAGTATATGTCACCTGAAACCTATTACCTGATCTGTACGTTCCGCATCTGTCAGGCGCACCACCAAATGGTGAATTTTGGATTTTCTATATACACGGGTCATAATCACTCCTAAACTTCGTCATTATACAGGGTTGATACTACTAAATTCAATCATTGTCACAATGTTTCCGTTTGCAGTAATCAGTTTGACTTTATAAGATAACAATACGAATACTAAAAATCCAGACTTAAAAGAAGGCGTAGGTACAGTTTCCAATTTGTTAGCCGGCGTGACGTAAACACAGCGAATCAAAGAATTCAACTTTATATATAACTAATATAGGACAATGATGTTGATTACAATTTACACCACTCCATGCCCTTTTGTTTTCCAAATAAATAATATTACAAGTAATTAATAAGTTCCAGGTCAACGGGTTCATACAGAAATCTTTTGAAAGCAGAGAAAACCGTGCCTCTTATAATCAACATGACTTTATCATATGACAATACCAATTCTAAAAATCCAGACTAAAAATAAGGCTTATACATAGTTAGATACTTTAATTCAGTCACGGACCCGCGATGTCGCGGGTGTGTTCTAATAAGTCTAAAAATGAGAACGTATTCTTCAAAGGTTTCACCAAATCTGCAACCATCGATCAAACCAACTTGGAAACTAAATTTGCCAGTTGCCTTTTTATAGACATTTTGATTAGATTAACAAATAACCAAAAACTACAGATACATATTCCTTCAGAAACTGACACCCATTAATATCTGATTTCTTTTATAAGAATGTCTTCTAAACAAAACCAGAAAAAAGGTTATTTGGGTTCTTACTTTTAGTCAGAAATGTTAAAGAACCCAAGTATTTTAACAAAAAAAAAAAAACAATTTGACTCACTTATTGCATACAATTTGGAACAAGAATGAACTAAATAATATAGAAAGAAATATTTGAAATGCCATAACTAATCAGTCTACATATGTTTCGTATACGCCTCGTTTGAACAAATTGTTGTATAAACTATTGCATACAAGTTAACACACGAAAAAAAAGCTGGAATTGGTACTGATGCTACCCGAAATGCGCATTTACTGAGAAAACATTATAAACTACGAACGAGTTCAAAATACTAATACGGTATGAGGGACACATAAACTTGCTAATTATTCACCTATACAAATGTGTTACAATTCATAGTGGGATACCATAACGATACCAATTTCCGCCAGAAATTCTGTTTTTTTGTAACAGTGACCTTGACCTTTCACATATTAACCCCATAATCAATATGCTTCTTTGCTTTCCCTATATCCTCCCTTTGTATAAGTTTCAATCAAATCAAGTAAGGGATAAAGTAACCATACGGAAACAATTTTTTCCACAATTTTTGTTTTTTTTTTAAAAGGAAAAAAAAAACCTCGATAGTACCTTATATCCAGTACAGTGACGGACCACCTACAGCCAAAAAATAGGTAGGATTTATTCTATTTTAGTGCGAAATCTAGAATATGAATAAAAATATTAATATTTTCTATTGTGAGATGCAATATTTTCTATATCCGTTCTAGATTAATGAAGAAATAAGTAAAAAACAAGGCAGAATTATAACCCGAGTGAACCTTACCTCGAATTTGTTTCCTTTCTCGATAAATTCTGCACATCGTATGGAAAGACACGTACGGACAGAAATATATATAGATATACATAGAGATTGCAAGATGTGTCACTTTTCACACCTCAGTATTTGTATTTCTATGTAAGGAACGAAAGTAATTGGTCACATCAAAATGAAAGGACCCGGTTGCAAGTATCATTCCAATCTAACAAGACAAAATTTAAAATAACAAAAATACCGAACTCCGAGGAAGATTCTTAACGGAAAGTCTCTAAGCAAATGGCAAAATCAAAAATTCAAACACATCAAACGAATGGATAACAACTGTCATATTCCTGGCTTGGTACCGACATTTTCTTATGTAGAAAATGGTGGATTAAACCTGGTTTTAAAGCTAGCTAAACTCTCACTTGTATGACATTCGCATAAAATTCCATTATATTGACAACGATGTGTGAACAAAACAAACAGACATAATAGGTAAAAATGTCAAAAATAGGGGTACAGCAGTCAACATTGTGTTATAACCTTAATCATTATAAAAACAAACAAATACGTAAAAAAAAAAAACAAACCAGAAAGGCATATAGACAAAGCACTTTAGCAAAAATGAAAGACAAGAATACAAAAATTTACCATAGCACAATAACACAATGACAGGATGTATAAGTACCGAGCCACGTCAAATGGATATTACCAAAAATAGACTAAACGGTAAAAGTAATAATTTACAAAGACAAATAAAAGAATATCATAACACGTTATTAAGATGATAAACGACGTCAGTACCTGCACAAACTCGTGTAACAATCTGGAAACCATTTTCCCCATTTTTGTTTTATATTACAGAGACCTCGACATTTAACCTATTTATCCAAAATTAATCGGCTTCTTCCTCTTACCAATATCTCTTACCTGTATAAGTTTCATTTCAATCGAGCAGGGGTTACTCAAGTACCCATATTTGTTCCCCTATTCTAAGTAACAGTGACACTGACATCGTAATAAATAGGCTTTCCCTTCCATATATCTTTCCATTTCTATAAGTTTCATTTCAATCAAGCAAGAGATATTCAAATTATCTTCCAAAAACATTCGGTTCTGACACACAGATGGATGGGAAGATGGATCACTGACAAAGCGATTTTTTTTCTTGGAGGATAAAAAAATAGGAACAAAGCATATTCAACTCTAAGCGATTCGATTGTACACACTATATAATAGTTTTATTCACTGCACAATTAGATTAGACAAACGATTTTAAATTTTGAAAAATCTAACTAAATAACCACTTCACAGAAATTTAAGGGTTTAAATACAACTTTTTTTTTTATCTTGAACAAAACATGGGTTATTTCCTTTATACGAGTTTCCCGAGTTATCAAACTTAAATTTCTATGTTTGCGAGTTTCAATTTTCCCCGGGCAACAAAACTTTCTTTAATCTCATCATTTCCTGCACAAAATCCCTTTTTATTGTCATATCTATAAAGTTTAGATTGTCGATTTTGTCAGGGATAGAACACTCTTCTAACATAATTGGAATTACGCAGTTTGTGACATTTGAGTCTAGATTCAACGATTTAATAACGGCTTGGTCTGCCTCGTACTGACACCAATTACTGGACACGAAGTGATCCGTTAGAATAAGAATGACTTTGTAACTTTTTTTGATAGCACCAATGATATTATCCAGTATAGAAATACCTGGAATGAAGTCTCTGTCGGCAATGCAACCTACAATTGAATAAAATACATATAATAAAGGATATCAGCACATAAATAACTTGAGTTAAAAAAGTTATTTTTCACAACAGATATGTGTTGCCTTTGTTCAGTATTAGATTTTTGTTTTCGAAGATTTACTTTAAAAATAGGTCTGACAATGAATGATTTATATAGAAAAATATCCATTTACTTATAATTTTTCAAAAATTTATCTAGGGCATATATTGGTACAGGTACTATACATTTTGTTTTATTCCGGGTTTCGAAATCTTGTCAGTCTGAAATCCAGAGACGATCTTGCCTTTTTATGAACCTGACTTATTTTCGTTTATCTGTTACATTTGTCTTCATTTCTAAAATGTTATCAAGTAATACTTTGAATTAATTTACATTGTTACTCACTAAATTCTAGTTTTACGTGCAATAGTTCATATGCATTATTTTGTATAACGTTTATAGATATTCCTTATACCAGCCTAGAATTCATTTTTTTTTAAATTTAAAAAAAAAATAAAATACATAATTGAATGCATACTAAAGTATTCGTATAAAAATTAGTTACCTATCTGTTCAGTCAGTTACACTGGTTAAACCTTAAATATTGCAATGTTTTCAATTGCAAAGGACTATAGATCATTACATATTATTAGTTCATTAGTTTACTTTCACTTGAATTTTTATATTTCCCATTAGATGAAATTGAAATTCGTTCTGGTTGAAACAATTCATGAAGAAAAAAGGAAGAAATTTTGTATATTGACAAAAAATACTTCCAATTTCTGAAATTTCAAAATCTGTAGGTAATTGAGTTTTAAGTTTATTGTAAATTACCTTTAAACGCCACGTCTTGTTCATCAAACTGGCTCTCCAGATATCGAAGTAAAATGTTTGTCACCCAGTCTTCGTCTTTATGACTGTGAGATATGAAAAAATCATACTCAAAATCTCTGGAGCATGCCTTTCTACCCACAGCTAGAGGTTTCAAAGATGTTTGATGAAATATTTCTGCGAGTACATACTCATTTTCTTGTCGTGGTATCACATCTTTCAAAATAGTTTGTAATGTTGAATACTGTCCTACATAATCAGTATCTGCAATAGCTGTCCAAATTTCAAGGCATTCGGTAAGAACGTCTTTTTCTGTCGCTCGTAGTGTAGTTTTCGTGTGAGCGATAATTGCTTTAAGCAGTTTCAAAAGTCCTTTCTGGTTTTTCTTATACAGATTTTTGATACTCAATGATATATCCTGGTATTTTCTTTTGCCATATATAAGAGCGTACAAAAACTCTTTAATGAGCTGCTCAATCGGTACTTGCAAATCATCTTCGAACATTGACACCATATAACTGCAAATTAAGTTAAACGACTTCTGGGTTGAAGGTGATGAAAGTAGCCAAGCTTTACTCTGCCATTCAATGGCATGAGCATATTCACCGAGGTCGAAAAGACATGATGCTTTTCTATTGGCAAAGTGAAAATCAGGACGATCACCTAAATAAGAGGCGTAGAAAAGATAGTCTAAAGCTTGATGTATATGACCATTTGTGTGTACAAACTTTTGTCCGTACTTATAAGTGTAAGGAAACTTTGCAAGTTTCTGACAAATTTCAGCTAAAATGGTTATATCTTTTCGTGTATTTTGAGATTTGAAAATGTTTTCACCGTCTTCTCTTGCCTTCAGCAGATATTTCTCAGCTAAGTCAATATTTGTTTTACCTAGGATTTCTGACATTTGTTTCCTAACAACCATTCTAGTGGAGAATGCAAACCAATTTCCAGTGTCTTTCGTATCAGTTGAACGTGCAAGAATATCATCCGCTTTCTGAAGTAAAACTAGTTTTTCGGTGTTGTCAGTAATAGACACTGATTTATTCCACAGAGTTCTTCCATATCTAGTTAAAACAGTAACATCATCTGGTTTCAGCTTATAAGCTATTTTTGCAGACTTAAGTGGGTTATCTGTAAAACCTTTGAAGATTGTATTCGAATTTAAGCTAAAGGAGTGTTCGGATGATAGCACCATAGCTCCACGTTTCATCAATATTTGTCCAATGTAAGCATAAGACCTTGCAACAAATGTTCGGACTATGACATCACCGTTTATTTGAGTTTGAGATATCATCCAAAATTTTTCAACTGCTTTCAATGTGATTTTTTTCATTTCTTCTGTTACGTCATCTTTTGCAACTTGTTCCAATTCATCTTTGTTTCTTTTACTTTGCGTCATTGTTTCTTTTATAGGATCTTTATATTTGAGAACTGTTTCCAAAGAATCATAATACTGATTTAATGCTTTAGCATAGTAGTAATTCCATATTATGTTTGGCAAAGATACATCTAACGTCTCAGCTAATTTAAATTTTTGAAGACTAGATCCTTTTCGAACTAGATGTCCGTCCTGGACCTCGTCTTCGTTTGCATTCCGGACATTACGTAGGACTTGCATTTGGTGGTGAAGTCCTCTGTCGAAACAATCTTTTCTCCTTCCCTGACTTCTTTCAAGTTCTGTACTAAGACTTTTGTGTAAATCGGCTATCCTCAATTCCACTGTACTTTGGTTAATAAGGGTTCTCTCTATCAGTATTGCATATCCTTGTTCTAGCAAACATATTTGCTTGCAATGAAAGTCATTCTTGGAGGTTCCTGACATTATTTCACAAATTGTTTGTTTGCAAACCTCGGCATCTTTGGATCGATCTAACTCCTTGTAAATATACTCCAAATCTGCTAGTACGTTTAAATTTCTGGGGGACTTCTTCAAAATGTTTTCTAGATCAACTCTACCTTCTTGTCGTTCTCTCGGTATTTTAGTCTTCAGAATGGCAATAATATTTTTCTGAACGTTTTCAACAATAGGATGTTCTTTTCTTAAAAGCGTTTCTATGTTTTGCTTTGCGTCTTGAATCACATACATATCAAGAGCGGTCATTATATTAAGATTTAATCGTATCAAACCAGGACTAAAGTCAGCATTGGTATTGGAATCCTCTAATTCTATCGAAACATGATCCATTTTGAATTGTTCTTTTAACAAACCTAAAATTGTATAAAACACTCTAAGTAAAACTATCAGAGGCGAACTAACATATAAAGTAGGATATCTAAGTATAAGACACATGCAATTATTAAAAGATGGGTTCTGTCAGGATATATTCAGATATTAGAAAACAATCATTTCTTTGTTCAAGTAAAGCAGAGAACACTTTTTTTGGGGGATATTTTTTGTATTTGTGTTCGTGTTTTGTTTAAGTAATTCGATAGTACGTCAATTTTCATATTTTTTCCGTCTTTGTATTGAATCTCTCTCAATTCGATAGGATAAGAAATTGTTTATGACATTGAAGAGCAATAATTCCTTTAAGTGATCGATTAACAATTTCGGACATGTTTGAACTTATTGTTTATCTTACTATTTTTTAAAATTATTTTGTATTTTTCCTATTCCTCAATACAATGCGATACAAGTCCACTGAGGTCATGACTATAAACATGACAGGAACTTAACAGTACATACAGTATATAATATGCAGATAGAAAAGTTACAAAAACTTTGAAAAGTATTTAACCAAATTGTGTCTTATGCCATGTAGCGTTATTTGAATATTTATCTATTATTTAACATTTCAAGATAATTACCAAAAAAGGCCAAATGGTAAAATCGTCATTTAAGGATAATAGCTCGTATATTTAAGTAGATGTTTAATAATTTCGATTATGTTGACTTAAATGTAGATCCGATATTAATCATCATATTTTGAGTTAACAGTTTCTCTTTATCGATTATATTTTTCAAGCAATTAGCAAATTGATAGATTTGATGAACCGTGACCATGTTCACACTGTTTAATATATTTTATCAATATTTCATCCTAATTATTTCATACGTTAAAACGGGGACAGGAATAACAAAGATATTTGACAACAAAACAAACCACAACAACTAAAATAATATATATGTCGAGTACCAATTAAGATTCAAGATTCAAGATTCAAGATTTTATTATCCAATCATGGGCCCTCAAGGGGCATATACACAAAATACAACAATTTTACAATGATTATCATGACATAACAAATTATTAAAGGTACATTGGTAGTGTACACATGTTTTATTCTAAAATGAAGCAAACAATATATTGTATAATACTTTCATGGAATATAACATATTTAATATTAGCATCATTTAAATTGGAAGGTTTTCTGAAATAAATTCACTTATTTTCAATGTAATTTTTGTATCTTCCATAGTCATTACCCATATAAATTTGTTAAGACAGGACAAGTTTGAAAATAATGGACATTCTTTGGTAATATAGTAAAGAAAAGTACCTAAAACCTATATTAAACTTATAAAAATCAGCAATCGTTCATTTATTTAAAGGTATGAACATTTTTAAATAACAAAGAGTTCAAATTGTATGATAGTGTCTTATGCGGAAAGTTTTAAACTATTGATATTTATAAAAAAAATAAATTCAAAAAATTTAATTAAACTAGAAATTACAGCTTTAATTTTAACAGAAATATAATTTGATATTTGACAGCCGTGATTTATTCTGAGTTGATAAGAATGTCTTCTTTCTCTCGCTAAGAATGCGTTTTTTTTTTATCAGAATGGTTAATACTTAAATATTTTTAGACCGCAGTTATCTTATTCAATGGGGGAAATCGAGGACTACATGCTATACATATGCCCATGGAACCACCACAAAGCTTTCATATCATTATGGTTAAGAGTTTCATAAGTCTCAATGTGTTCAGAAGAATACAATTTATTCCAAATTAATGGATCAACAAGGGGTTACATGAGATAATTTCAATAAACAACCAAGCACGTACAAAAGATCAATACTGAAGGAAAGAATTACCTAATCAATAGAATCCACTTAAATTAAACATTATGAATAGTCTGCCTTGTTTGATATGTTCAAACTTGTCTAAATCCTCAAAGTCTATATCATTATTGTTGTGTGTGTTGTATTGTATATCAAATTAGAAATTAAAAAAACCCAACTCAAACCAAACAAACGATTAAAGTACTTACTTGTCTTACGCAAATAGTCAACAACACAAACATACTATCTTTGCACCTACTGGATTAGTTCTATCCCCGCTAATAGGTATTTTACAGATAAATGGCGATTGTAAAGGTTCATTTAATGTTTCATAAAATTTAAACACAAAGTGCATGAACTAAGAATATATATAGATTTAAGAATATGTCTATGCACTAAATGTATGTACTATTTAAACTTGAAACGTCAAATGCAAACAAGGACTATCGTTACAACTAAAGTTATGGTTTGGGTGAAGACTTATAGTCTTGATAAAAGATTTTTTTATCTTGCTATTTATACTTAAGTTTCGATAAATGTAAAATCAATTATTTGTTTCCGTCAAAAATATGTATTTTTCAGCAGTACTACTGGACTAATTCCCAGGCACTAGATGTTCTATTCATATTATTAAAAATGGGACAATGAGAAGAAAATAGTGTCAATGTATATAAAACACAGCTCTTTTTATATGCATTGACACTTTTATCCCCAATGCCCCTATTGTATTAATATAGACAGAACGCCTATATAGTGCGAAAATCCGTATTTAGTAGGGTTCCGAATAGGATTTTGCTGCATTTGATAGTTTGATAGGAGCGGAACAAACAAAAAGATTTAATATATTTGGCTCGGGAAATAGCAACAAAAAAAAAACTAGAATTATTCAAGCTGGTAAAAATTATGTCAATTTTTATAGATCATTATATTAGTAGATGAACCGGTTGATTTATTATTGACACTTCAGTGTTGAAAGGTTACCATGATTTTAAAAAATCATTAGCAAGGATTCAAGTACAGATTCCAAGAAATTATTATTAAACAAACTAATAATTTACCTAAATGGTCCTAAATAAACAGGCGATTAGACCGGTGAAGTAAAGTTAGTTTTCTAAATTGCCGATTTTGTGTTGCGTCTGAATAAACGCCACCTTTATTTATGAAAATAAAAAAGGCAACAACCCGACCAAAGAGCAGAAAACAGCCCTAGACAATCAATGGGTCTTCAATACAGGACGCCCCACTAAACTCCGAAAAATACAAATAAATTAAAAAAAAACCAAACCAAAAAAACACCCGAAAAACACGCACACAAGACTAACAAAGGCGAGAGGGTCCTGACTAGGGACTGGCTCATAACTGCGGCGAAGTTAAACATGTTTTGTGAGATCTCAACCCTCCCCTATTCCTCTAGCCAATATGGAATAGACAAACACGCAACAAAACGCACAGAAAAACTAGGTCTTAAAGAAGATCGAGTCCGATGTTAGAATAGGTAACTTAAGAAAATAAGCAAATTGACAATGATAAACATAAATTAACAAAGTACTACTAGCGGTTACGGACTTGCCAACTCCAGACGTCAATTAAACTGGTTGAAAGATTATGTCTATTAAGTACAATCTCTCCTGTAAGTGGTTTAGTATCATGCTATTATACATTATACGACTCGGAAGAACATAACCCATATCATGCAAACGACTGGTTTTAGAATAGATGTGGTTATTTCTGATGTATAGACCCTATATGAGTGAATCAATATTAATTCCAAATAAATGCCATCATTAATGACTTAACAGCAATATCGTAACTATATTCTTTGTAAATAAGTCTAATTAAAGGATTGGTTAGCTTTTCAGGTGAATAACGACATTTTTGTGCTTTATGTAGAATATTACCATAAAAAATAGGACGTGAAATACTTAAACATATAAGATGTCTGCTCGTTGCTTTATATTTTCGATTGATGTCCTTGTAGCGATGATAAAATTTAGTAAAAGTTTTGACAAGTTTTGGATCTAGAAAACCCTAGTGTGATAATTTGTCAGTAATACAGAGATTTCTTTCGTTAAAATCAAATGCGTTGTTACATACTCCAGAGAATGGAACAAGTTGAGATATATAAACACCATACGACGGTTCCAAGGGAGCGTCACCATCTAAAAACGGATAATTAATAATAGGAAATGGAAAATCATCTCCTTTATCGTAAATTTTAGTGATAAGCTTCCCGTTAGAGATATAGATATCAAGATCCAGGGATCAGATTGTTTCGATGGGTCTTGGCTGATTTAAGACATACATTGTGATTCGTCACAATGCAGAAACAGGCTCGCATTAAGTGGTGCACAGTTAGTCCCTATTGGAATTCCGATAACTTGGCGATATACAGAATCTCCATAGTGAACAAAAATGTTATCTAGTAAAAATTCAAGTGCAGTTATCAGATCAAAGCAGCTGCAATTGACAGATTTCTTTTGTTTGTTGTTACTAAAAATTGACCTAAGAGAGTATGAATATATATATTCACATTCAAACTTTTTAAATTCCCATTGATTTAGGTTTGTGAATTTTTGAGTTAATAAGATTATGAAGCAAAGTGGTATATAGAGTAGAAAAATCAAAACATGAACAGATCCGAAAGCACCAATATGAGCATGCAATTTATCAAGTGCTTCTTACGATTTTTTGACACTCCAAAAGTAATTAATTTCACTATATTTCTGCGACCTTATTTGAAAAATTTATTACCAGGATTTTGATGGTACATAAGTGTACTAGTAAGTAGAATAAAGAGTCATGTTAGTAGTGGAATAATGGCTTGAAGACGTGGTTGGGGACGACTGTATGTTGCCCTCTAGGTGTCTTTTGGTTATTGTTTGCTTTAGGTTGCTGTCTAATTGATGTAAATCCAAAATCTCTTTTTATACATGTATCTAGAATGTTCCCAGGAAAAATAAAATTTTAGAGTTATAAGCAACAAGCAAGAATCTATTAGAAGTAGAATTTGTGAATAGCTTTAATGGTGAAACAAACTTTTCTAAAATTGTCTGTTTATAAATTTTGAAATTATAAAGAAACTAAGGTTTCAACTCCCTCAGGCAAAGTTGACTTTAGATGCATTTGGCTATTTATTTAAGCATGGTATTTTTGTCATATAGTTCTTCAACGGTTTCGGTACTTATACATCCCTCGGATTTCAAATGTTTGGCTTTGCGCGTTCCTGATGAAGGTAAATCCAGAAAAGCGCTTCGAACGCATGAAATTATTAAACGTGTTGTTTTCAATTTTTTACATCACTGGGTCGATACCTCTGCTGGTGGACTATCAGTCCCCGAGGGTATCATCAGCTCAGTAGTCAGTACTTCGGTACTGACATGATTTAACAAACTTTTCTAAAATTGTCTGTTTATAAATTTTGAAAATCTAGAATAAAGTTATTGAAAGCGATTCATTTTGACACTTGGTGCGATGCATGATCACTGTAAGTGCGATCATTTCTGATGCGGGATTTCTTTATGTGCGATTGATTTTCATTGTGGTTTTATGTGATAATTGGACATGCAAAAACTGACAATATTCATTCGATGAATTAAATATTAATGATAGTTACAATTTAAAAATCCAAACTTATCGTTCATACTTAAGTACCGTACAGTTTACTGCAGACGCTATTTATTTTAAACGATAAAGAACCAACTGAGAGAAGCCGAATATGATATCGAAACTATTCTGAGTTTTGTACACAGTTTGTATACAAAAATATATTATGCACGTTGTATGCATTTTTAGTCAACAATATCAATTAAAGAATTCCAATTTTAACTCGAACTGTACTGATTGAAAGGTAAACGCACGTATGTCTACAAAAACATGTTCACAGAAACTCGCTTAAAAATTCCTCAAAAATTTAAACATTAAATAACTTTACACCAACCGTATGTGCAGGTAAGTGAGCGTATCTTCATAAAGAATATATCCCACATACCTAGTTCATTGTATAATGTAATTATTATGATATTTTAACTAGTCATCAGTTTATAAAATTGTTTATACTGTACTGTTCGTTGCGCGTTTTCGTAACAGAACTGTACCCTTCGTTGCTAAAAAAAATCGAGAAGAACATATGCTGTCTCCTTTGAAATACCCATCTTTTATTTTTTTGTAACGACTTAACTATTTGACATTTCAAACATTTCATATTGAAAATTTGTTCACCTGAATTTGTGCATGTTTAATTTTGGACCATTTGATCCCACTTATCGGGAGTACCTGATTGCAATCCAGTTCTGAGAGATTTCGCAAAAATAACTCTAAAAATCTAGTACTTTGATCTTGAGGTAAAGGTCATGAAAATTTCATTGAAATAAGGTCATTGTTTTAGGAGGAGTTGTGAATACGAAATGTCTACTACTTTTGAAGAAATGGCGAAGGCAATATTTTGCAATGAGACTGTGAATCCATTAATAAATTAAGAGGTGCAGAATGCGTTAACAAAGATTATGTGAAAATTCATTATAATCCTGTCCTTAGTTTTATGTTGCTTTGCAGATACAAAGTAGTGACGGACAGACGAACGTATGAACGGACATAAGGACACGTCGATCACTATACATGCTCTCTTATACGGAGTAAAACATTTAAGAGTAGAGGAGCAATTAGTATATCCAACACGGTTGCCATGAGATGAAATAAAATGAATAAATACACTGCAAATTCCGGTCAAAATGGGGACACAAAATTGTGCCAAATTTCCCGCGTTTCATCCCGGTCAAATCTTACTAGACGAATCTACCGATTGTATTATTTATTTATTTATTTTCGTCCTGATATTTGTCACTGGATGTTAAGCTAACAGCGATAAATCGATCATTGAAAAATAAATTTATCACCAGGATAGGTTATTAATGTTTATAATTAGCAGAATTTAAATGGAAAATCGAGAACATTATAATGATTTAAGTCTTAGAAAACTCTTAATTCAACTGTTTTCCACATCATACAATTCGCATCTGCTTTACATGTAAATGTAATCTACTTGTCTTCTGGCATTAGGGCCAGTTTCAATCGTCTAAACTCTCGTCTAAAATCAGTGTCTGTTGATAAGTTTACATAATTTAAATGTGCAATTTTATCTGGTAGATCACAATCTCCTAATAGAACTGGAATAATACAGTTGTCGTCTTTAGAATTTAGAGATCGAATGACTGCTTGATCTGCTTCATACTGACACCAGTTACTTGACACAAAACTTTCAGATATTACGAGAATGACCTTATTACTTTCACCAATGGCCGCTATAATATTGTCTAGAACTGAAATGCCAGGTGTGAAATCCCTATCAGCAATACAGCCTGAAATTCATAAAATAAGGTTATTTTTTTTTACCACAACACAATAAAAGCATATTGCTTTTGACAACGCCCTAATCCATTCTTTCCGTTCCTTTCGTTTGAAAATAACACAAGATCCTTTTTGTTTAGCTCTCAAAGGGCTAGGATTATAGAAATTCAACATAAAAGTCATTTGAAAACGAACATTTATACTCATTCTAGACTAATAGTTTATAAAGTACACTAACTATGTACTATGTTAAAATTGGAGTTGTAAAGATAAACTAGTATATATATTTATCACACATTTTGTACTAGTATGTTCGTTTTTGCATGGCCAATAATAGCCGGAAGTCAAGGTTAGTTATTTGTCCTCGGGGCCAATATTGATATTAGCCCTCGAAAATCCATACCGTGCCTCCGAATTTGACATCCGGTAACCTGTCAATCAAAAACTATTTGTAAACAAGAAAGCATTCAAAGCAGACGATTAGGAGAAGTTTCTTGTTGAAAATATTAAACATAATTTGATATATGCTTTCTTTTTTTCTCCAGCTTTAAAATATGTGATAAATAGATAATTACATGCCATTTTTCAAATTGGCCCTGCTGTAGCAGAAAAAACCAGTGGAAATAGTTCCAGGTTTCCCATTTACATTATCGCTATTTGGAGATCTGTTCCGCTTGACCCGAGAATCTGCACCGGTTGTATTTTTGACGTCATATAACAATCACTTTTCCATTGTGGCGTCAGATATTTTCTATTGTGACGTTAAAATTTTACGGGAACCTTTGCGATGTCCAGTATTGGCGGACAAATAGCGATAAGGTGTATTCTTCCTCACGCAATCATTGGAAATTTTACAAGTAATATCTATAACTTTGAGAAATAATGTTTATTGTTAATCATTTGCTAAACTTTTCACAAAACTTTGTTTACTCACTGTGATACGAATTTTGTTAACTCACTTTGATACATTTTTTTGATTTTTTTCTTCAAATTTTTTTCAATTTTTTGTTGAAAATAAAACATAATTTGATCTATGCTTTCTTTTTTTCTCCAGCTTGAAACTATGTGATAAATAGATTATTGCATGTCATTTTCCATATTGGCCCTGGTATCAGCCCTCGACCCATATCAAGCCCTCTGGCTTGATATGGGAGTCTAGGGCTGATACCAGGGCCAATATGAAAAATGCCATGTAATAATCTATAAATATATATAATTATATATAGTAAGTTTATTTAAGTTTCTTATCATCTACATCCGATTTCAGCTGGATAGATGCACGCTTGATAAAGCTAGTTTGTCTAGCGAAATATTGCGTTTATTTTTATCGTTTTGTAAATATTTTAAATATTCTAATATTTACATACTAAATAGTGTGTTAAAATTACATTGTTAGGCAATGTTTGTGTAATTGTATTAATCTCTGTACTGATTAATCCACACTCCCATAGATTTGTATGTCATGTGTTGCTATTAATAGGCACTTATATATATATATATATATATAAATATATATAAAGTAGAATGAATCAATAATTTAGAACAGTCCTGCCAAGTGTTCCGATTTATCCCATGAGAGATGTTTACCTGAGTCTTGAAATCCTCCATTGAATAAACTACCATGTACTTATTCAATACAGTAAAAAACGCTACCGATATGTATAAGAGAAGCTTTAACTCCTCTTGTGGCCAAATGGGATTATTCGGATTTTGAGTTGACAGGTTTGTAAATATGTGACGGAGGAATAAAATGTTTGAACTGGTGAAGCAGTTTAATTGTCTATATGTCTACTATTAAATGATGTAAATTAAGGTTATAATATATTTAAAATTGAGCATACACCAAGATTTGCTATTAATTGCTCTTTCTGGTATAATCAATATGTGTTTACTTCAACCATAGAAGGATATATATTTAAATAGTATACCAAAAGAAATACCTCTAAAAGCAACGTCGCTCTCATCAAACTTGCTCTCCAAATGTCGAAGAAAAATGTTGTCAACCCAACTACCATCTATATGACTATGTGATACGAAGAAATCATATTTGAATGACTTTGACAAGGCTTTCAATCCTGTCTTAAGTGGCTTTATAGAGGGATTCTTAAATATTTCAGACAATACATACTCCATTTCTTTTTCAGGAACAATTTCCTGAAGCGTAGACTTAAGTTGTCTAAATTCTCGACCAATATTTCTATGAGTCTGCGAAAAAGTAATAAAATTATCCAAACATATTTCTAATATATTTTTCTCGTCTATCCTCATCGGCTTAAGTTGCATAACTTCTCTAAAAAACCGAAGGATTTCTTTTCGCCTAATTTGGTATAATCCTTTTAGATTTCTTGTTATATCCTCATATTTGTTTTTACCGTATATTAAAATGTATAAAAATTCTCTAAAGATGGGATTCTCAGATTTTCCCCACATTTTTCTTTGCTCAAACATAGTCAGCATATAGATGCACAACATATAAAAAGCGTATGACGAAGAGCCTTTGGAGGGAAACCAGGCTTTTCTCTGCCATTCAATAGCTTGCTCATACTCGCCAAGATCAAAGAGACAGGAAGCTGTTCTGTGTGTCCAGTGATATTCTGGAGGATCTCCCAAGTATGTAGAATAAAACAGATAGTCTAACGATTGGTGTAAATAATTGTTATCGCGTACAAACTCGGGACCGCAATCGTTTGTTTTGGGAAATTTTGCTAGTTTTTGACACACTTCTGCCAAAACAGTCATATCTTTTCTTGTGGTTTTTGATTTGAAACACGTATGTCCATCTAATTTTGCTTTCTTTAAGTAATCTTCAGCAACTTCATAATTATTTCTTTCCAAGTTAGCAATATCTTTTCTCACCACCATTCTTGAAGAATAGGCAAACCAGTTTCTCTGTCCATCTTTGGCGATAGAAGCAGAAAGAATTTTCTCAGATTTATAAAGTTGTTGAAGTTTAATTTCCATGCTGTCCGTTTGGAGTACACAGTTCCATAGGGCTCTGCCATATCTATTTAGTACTGTGACATCATCAGGCATAAGTTCATATGCTTTTTTGGAGGCTTGTAGAGGATCGTTCAATAGCTTCTTGAGTTCAGGAATTTCCAGCAATTCAGGAATAGTTGAGTTTGAATTAATGAGACTCTTTCGTTTCATTAATATATGTCCTATGTATGCATAAGATCTTGCTACAAACGTTTTCATGTCTTCCCTGGAAGGTTCTTGTGTTATATACCAAAATTTCTCAATGGCCTTTAATGTCACTGCTCTCATTTCATCTTCCATACCATCTTTTAATTTAGAAATATATTCTAAAGAGTCATAATATTGATTTAATGCTTTTGCAAAGTAAAAAACCCAAACTATGTGGGGTAAGGGTTTGGTGGATAACTTCTCCGCCATTTCAAATTTTTGAAGACTAGAACCCTTCCGGAGTATATGACCATCTATTTTCTCATCTTCATTTGCATTTTGTACATTGCGCAAAACTTGCATTTGATGGTGAAGACTGCGTTCTAAACATTCTCTTCTGTTACCTTCGCTTCTTTCGTATTCAGTATTCAGCATCTTATGCAAGTCCGTAATTCTCTGTTCAACTGTATTTTCATTTATCAACGTTCGCTCAATCAAAATTGCATACCCTTGCTCAAGCAAACATATCCTCTTATTTTGTAGAGAATTCCGAGTTTTTCCATTTAGTTTGTGTTCAATAGTTTTACGACAATTTTCGGCGTCTGTAAATCTGTGCAATTCTCTGTAGATGTGCTCTAAATCTGCTAAAGCGTTAAGATGATCGGGGAAATTTTCTAATATTTGTTCTAACTCAAGTCTAGCCTCCCGTCTTTCTCTTGGTATTTTCATTTTGTATAATGCAACCATATTTTTGTGAACATTGATTAGAGCGGGATGTTCTTTTTCAATCAATTTGTAGATATTATGCTTTGCATCTTCAATCATATGCATATCTAAGGCATGCATAATATTTAAGTTCAGTCCCATTAATCCCGGTGTAAACTGCTCTTCGTTCATTTTTGTTGAGATAAACTTTATAAAATTAAAAGGAACAGGACAGACTGCACTCTTTCTTCTGTTTCTTTATTCTCCTAAATAGTTATATTAAACTGTTAACAAATCTATAAAATTTAAATGTGATATATAATATTACAGGCATAAAAATATATGCATAAATACATTCGACAAGTTGATTGCTGTCTGCTTAACGTCCAGTGACAACTCAGGGATGCAGATTCAACAAAACAGGTGGACCGTGGTGAGAATAACAAATGGTTTGCCACGGGCACTCAATGGTATGTTGGCAAAGACCGACAATTCCCCCTAGCAACAAGTAACCTACGTTTATACATGTTAAACAGTTTTAATAAGAATTCATAACTGCAATCTCTAAACTACTTTGCATCTGATTTAATGTTCCGTTGTTTTCCTCTTATAGTTGGCGTGTTTCCCTCGGTTTTAGTTTGTTACCCGGATTTGTTTTTGCTTAATCAAATTATGATTGAACAGCGGTATACTACAGTTGCCTTTATAAATGAAAACATTCCTCCTGAATGCGACTTTGTATTTATACACCAACCAGCCATTTCTAAGCCATGGAGATAAAAGTAGACGTAACTAACATTTCACACCCAAGTCACCCTTGCAGTTAGCATACACTACTGTTTTCAACTCATAGGGCAGCATACATATATAGAACATGTGAGATCGTGGGGACTGCAATTTTACTGCATATCATATCTGTTTTTCGTTTATTGTTCTGTACATAAATGAGGTCTTCAGTGTTCCCGTTTTATTTTAGGGACTTTTATAGCTTAATATGTAGAATGGGTTTTGCTCAATGTTGAAAGCCGTACGGTGACCTATAGTCGCTAACCTTCTACGCCATTTGGTCTCTGGTGAAGAGTTGTCAGATTGGATGTCATACCATATATCTTATTTTTATATTTGTGTCTGTTGTTGTTTATTGTCCTCTAGATGTCTTGTGGTTATTTTTTGCGTATTTGGTTAATAATTGTAATAAGGGAGTTATCAGAAAAGAAAATATAAAAAAGCACATAATTAGACATTATATAATAGAATTACATATGACTGATTTTAAACACAAATGAATATCTTTTTTTCTTACCGTGAAATCGCCTCCTTTTGTTTATTCAAAACGATTAGAAACAAAATTACTACACAAACAGAAAACCATTTGATGTAAACATCCTAAACAATGACAATTTCTCGCTGCACGGACTCCTTTTTGGAAAAAAAAATGAAATGATGTATCAGACCTACCTTTGTGCTTAAATTTCGTTCGACGTGAAAAAAATTGATTTAAATGTTTATATTCGAAAGTAAATGTTTTCACAACTGTGAATGACAGGAGATCGATGCAGGCTGTAACTTCAATGAGACAGTAACCAAACAATAACACAACAAAAGCAGATAAAAAACTACCAATTTATAGATCTACATTGCCCTTTTATGCGCTACTGTCAATATATCTGAGGACTATATTAAGACAAACACGCATGATCTTTAAATGCTGTAAAGTATGAACCAGGTATAAAAATATAAATGATTTAACAGATTTATGAAAATTAATTGTGAGTATTTTCAATTTGTATTTATTGAAAGTTGAATGGTCGCAAAGAACTTATGTATCCTTAGGTGTATAAGAAAACATTATGCATATTCACAAATATTTCTGAAAATTAAAATGAAAGTAATTCAGCAGAATATGTGTATTGGTTCTTGGTGATTGTTAGAACACATTTCTTTAAAGGGGTTCCACCTATAGTCATTATGTGTGAGTTTTCGTTACAAATATCAAAAGTAACGAAAGTAGTTGCCATGATTTTTGTGTATGTATTAAGCTTTTTTCCGAATATAAAAATTACTTGCCGTACGAAAACCAGCCGTCCGGCACCCTGTTTACCTAGAAAAGAATCAACCAAAAAGTCTTTGTGTCCATATTCTCTATTAGTTTATAGGGTTAAATGATAATATCGCATAAGAATACACCATTTTCGCATAATTTACTTACCAAAGTCCATACTCTGATTCAACGATTAAAAGTGAAATCTGACAAAAATTTCAAACAGATAAGAAAGATCCGAACGATATAAGTATGAATGTATATACATGTTGAAGGTCGCACACCAGATTTCAGAAAATCAAATTCTATAAATATCCTATCTTATCGATTCATTGTGATATATTTTTTAACATATTACGTAATCGATTATTTGAATTACAAATGTATCAAATAGTTTGTGTACTGTGAATGAGTAATATATATATATATATACATGTCTATATCAATATATAATCAAAGTATTGACGTACTGTTAACTCAGAGCACCATAAGATCTGATGGCTGGCGAATATCAACATAATTTTTTCATCTAACTGTAGCATACTGAGAGTAACTTACAATCGTTTTAAATTCTTACGTCCAATATCAACTATTTTAACCATTTTTCGGACGATAACATATTTTTCAGTTAATCAATTTCGTATGTCTGTGGGTACAGTGGTTCAAAAGGGAAATAATGAAAAAGATAAAGATGCTAGGCACTCTCCAAACGTATGATAACGAATTCAATGATAGTGTCCATAACGATCGGACGTGACTGTGTACTAGTATATGTTGTGTACAAGTTATCATTTTGTACAAATTATAATTTGTACAAAAAAATTGTACAAATTATAATTTGTATTTTGACTTTGTACAAATTATAATTTGTACAAAAAGTGCCTGTACACATTATAATTTGTACAAAATAAGGCTTAATTTCACTTGCACAATATTTTACATAGAATAAGTTTCAAATCAAATGATAAAAAATTATTTCAATTTTAATTACGAATCAATATGAAACACACTGATAACTCTATTTACAATACTATACAATAATATACAAAGCTCTTATTTGTTGGAGCGAACCATGACACCTTGAATTACACAATACATTCTGCTTTTTGCATTTACACTTCGAATTGTTACAACCGCCTTTACATTTGCAAGAGAGATAACCCTGTCCACCAGTTTTTGAATTTTTTTTCACAGCTTCCCTTAGGGAAAGTTGTAAATCTGGAATTTGTGTAACGGACAAAGAAGAGTCATTAATTGATTCTAGTTGGTTTCTGCTTAAGACTCCTGATAAATTACCAGCTATTGTCCCTACACGATAGCCAAAATTTCCTACTTCCACAACAACACCTTGTATATTGCTCGGATCGGTCGGTGCTCGGTCATACTGTGGTATTGGGACAATAACATTGTCTCCAACAGATAACTCACTCAGTTTCTGTTTTGTATTTCTAAGGACATCTGTTTGGATTTGTTGGCCAGACAATGCGCGTTTTCTTGCACGAATGATTGGGGTTTCGACTTCCTCTGATACAACTTCAATAGTTGTACTAGTTGATCCAGTTTCACTATCAGTCACAGAATCGTTAAGTTCTCTTTCAGATTCTACCGATTCAGCATCTGTGTTTTCAACCGTGCCATCAATCTCAATTTCATTGTTCTCCTCTGAAACCTTTTTGAACACTTTCTCTAAATCTTCCTCGGTTTCAAGATTTGGCAAAAGTTCCTTGGGCAAAGAAGATGAAGATAAACCTATCTTTGGGTCAGAACCAAACAGAGCATGATAAGGCGATTGATCAATTACTCTGTGATATGATCTATTTTTCTGAAATTGCACGAAGCGCAAACCTTCAGACCACTGTTGTGTGTCATTGTCATTCACCAATGCTATGAGCATTTCTTTAATGTCTGCATTTGCTCTTTCTACAGACCCTTGACTTTGGGGATGTCTTGGTCGCCCATGAACTATTACTAATTCTGACCATAACGATTTCAGTTCAGTGATTATATGTGCAATGAACTCTCTCCCATTATCGCTTTTGAGGATATGGGGTGCACCAAAGAGAAGAAAAATGTCAAGTAATTGATAGGCAACTTCAGCAGCTCTCTTAGATTTCAGAGCTCTAAACACGCTAAATTTGGTAAGATGATCTTGATAATGCATTATCCATTTAAATTCATGGTCGGGGACAGATTGAAGGTCTACAAGGTCAACCTGCCCTCTACAGTTGAAGTCAGCAGAAATTATAGGTTTAACAACAAGTTTTGATATGTCAGTACGTTTTCATTTCAAGATACATTGTTCACAGTTGGTTGTAAATATGCGTATTGTTTCCCGGTTAATGTTAGCAAAATGTTTTTTGAGTTCTTTGTTAGTTTTATGGAGACCTCCATGACCGACCCCAACATGTGCTGTTTTTATAATATCATACATATCCTCAATGGATAAGTACATGTTATCTGGGTGTGGATATATAGATATAGAAAAATATCAGCCCGCGAGCCAGAATATGAAGCTAAATGTCGAGTGAGCGTAGCGAACGAGCCATTTAGCTTCATATTCTGTCGAGCGGGCTGATATTTTTCAATATCTATACAATCCACATTTAGATAACATTTTTATCATCTTTCAAAGCAATGTTTTTGTTTTTCTTTTTTAATAATTTAGCGGGAATTGTTATTACCAGAGTGTCTCTTTTGTTACTAGGCAACACACGTCATCGACATATTAAACCGCGGAACACCTTGCTGCCAAAATACGCAGGGTAAAATATTCCCATTAACTACATGAAGAAAAATGTGTTTTTTACATGATAACGCATATATTGATGTATAATATTTGAAGATGATACAAAAAAAAGAAACAATGCTTAACGATAGATTGAAAGATCGAAGTATTTCATATCACCAGAAGAAGAAAATTTCTACTCGCTGACTGCTGAACAACTTCTAAGCCTACGCGGCACTAAAAAAATCCAGAAATATCGCATCAAAATGTTGTTTGTATCAAGTCTGAGAGTACATAAATATTTGGTAGTTAGGAGAAGTTAATTTGAGAAAGACAAGTATTGGTAAATTGTCCTTTTTGTAATAATACCTCGACATCTCGCACCTTGTACCCGTCATTTGTACGTGAGAGGACATGGAAGGTAGGTGTTATTTTTGTACAGACTTCCCCACCAAATTGCATTGGGACGGTATTTGGTTCAAGTTATTGGGTACCATTTCCTATAAGTGCTTTGCCTTATGTTATAATTGGGGAAAATATATTTTCCGCGGGTACTTTCTTCCCTGATAAGATTTAAAGGAACAATAACAGAACCAGATCACCTGAATTTTTGAAATGTTTTTCAATATTGCTTCGCTGCATACTGTTGGTCCATGTACATTGATATAAATGTATCATTCTTTTGGTAACTTTGAGTTAAATGATAAGATACATCATGTTTATGATTCTTGGAGAAATGTATATGCTTTCAGTGTATTCAACTAGGTAGCTCAGGGGTCAGAGCATCTCTTTATGAGAAGGTCTTAGGTTCAAATCCTAACTTAGTTACACTGAAACAGTAAATACTATGAATGGAATTTTAACATGTTTAACATGTATTAATCATTTAATATTTTGCCTACTTGAGTCTATCTCATGTGAATGATCAATGTACATATAGCCAAGGATTTGTCCTTGATATAGCCAATATAATTATGATTTACACCAGTTTTCACATTGTAACTTGCAACTGATATTTTATATCAATATATGTAGAAACTGGACCATATAATCTGTCGTTCAAAAGCTTTTTTTTTGGTTGGTGCTTTTGTGTAAAGCTTGTTACACAGTATGTATTTTGATCGTTGTTAAAGGCCATATACATGACGGACATGTAAATTTGCTTTCATCTCAAGTTGATAAATCTTTTTTATTGGTGTTTTTATATTGCATCTTATTTTTTTGTTATTTGCAGACTGGTTTCAGATTACATGAAATAAATTGAAGCTAGTAATAATAGGTTGATATGCAAGATGATTTTTTTTTTGTTAATTTGCTCTCTTTGCAAACACATTAAATCATAATTGCTTAAAGCAAAAATATAATATTTTTACACATTTTCAGTATAAGACTATTTTTATTTTCTTAACACTTGTAGTATGATACTGATACAGTGAGTCTTATTATTTGTAGAGCATCTGGAGAAATTCATATTATTTTAGCAATTGATTTGATACATAAAATACATTTGTTGGTCAGATATTTATTGCGTTTAGTTTTAAAAAGTTGTTAAAGCATACTGAGTAATGAAAATATTGGATAATAGTCCCACAACTAATAAATGAATTGAATGATTATTATATTTTAGAAATCACTATCACTGTCACTGACAATTACGCATAGACGCTTTCTTTTTTTCTTTTTTTTGTCATCTGAGGGTTGTTGATCTGATGACGATGATGTCCCATTGTTAAAGGTAAAATTGAAATTTCCACCATGGAATGTTGCATTGGTGAAAAGATCACTCATTGCGGGATGTAATTTCAAAAAATTAAAATTTCCTTTGTAAATTGACTGTTTACTGTTGTTAGTAACAGTTGATTGAGTCTGTGTTGATGTTATTGTCTCTAATACTGGTGAGGTATTTTCTTTATTATCTGATTTAGTAACTGGAGGATGCTGTAATTCTCTTGTTGAAGATAGCATTAGAGATGTTTTTTGTTGTTGTTCCAAGCTTGTTTTGGAGTACGACAGCAAACTGTTAACATTTTTGTGTCCTGTTCTTTGTACAATTTCTGTGTCTTGCACTCCATTGTCTTTTTGTTTTTGGATTGAACCCTTCCTTGCACTATGGCCAGTGAGTCTTTTATCGTTATTGGGTAGTGCTTCCGTGGCCATATCTTTTATTATTTTAGAAATTGATTTAGTTCCAAGTCTTAGGTTTTTGTACCAAAGAATTTTTGATTCATAGTTATTATCCTGAAACGTTGAAGCCTGAATATAAAAAGGGGAATCCTCTTTTTTCATGGTTTCTGGTCTTTTTTGTCGAAAAAGTTTATATTGAAACACAGGACATCTGGTGCGGTCAATTTTGTTTTCTACTGCGATTGGTCCTGATTTTCTTAGATTTGTTATATTTTCGCCCTGTCTTGTTTTTGTCTGCCTTTGACGACAATACTGGAGGTATTCGTCTCCAGTTGTGTCAACTTTTAGTGATATATCACCCCAACATAAATTATAATGTTCAGTTACTCCTCTTAAACCAAAATGGTAATTGTTATTAATATATACTGCGTTTATGAGAGAGCGAGGACCAAGACCAAGTGATTTTAAGTTTTGAAATTTTGCCCTCAGAGTCTGACGACTTTTGTGGAACTCATCATCAGTTATAATATTACATTCATACTCATTATCCTTTAAATGTCGGCTAATGCTCTGCTGTATTAACTTAAGAGATGATGGTTCATATTCAAAAGTACCATTTGTTTGTTTTTCCTTCGTGGCGCTAAGAAAGAAAAAACTAAGATATCTGTCCAACTGTTGTGGTGGTATTTGTTCAATGTTTCTTTTTTCATCATGTTTTGATTTTAAGAACAATTGGAAAATTTTCAAATCAGACTTTGTTTTCTTGGAAGTATTTTTATTAAGTTGCTCTTGAAGGAAGGAGTCTATATCAGCATCTGTTACATCTCTGAAACGGTCACTCTCCGATGCTTTTGCTAAGGATGTTGTGCCAAAAGATGCAGTTTCATCACTGTCAGTTTTAGTGTTCTTGTCTTCTTTTGCATTTTTCCTTTTGTTTTTCATTTGTGGCACTTTGTTTTTGAATTTTGTGAACATTTACAGGGAGATATTTATATCTAGTGCTTGAATTTGGTTTTGAAAAGTCCCAGTAACTGCATGAAGGGCTGTCCATTTCACTTAATAATGTATTTGTGTCTGAGTTGTCTCCCGATTCCCATGATTCACTCTCACTCTCTGTATCAGTGGCCATTTTGTGTGTTTGTTTTGTTTTGTTTTGTTTCAGCAGACGAAATAAGTGCTTTAGACTTGTCTGGAAAAGGGTGTTTGATCTCTGATAGAACTTTTCATAATTTAATGTAAAATGTGTTAGCTTTGCTGTTATTAAACACAAGTGCATTTAAACAATTTAGATTTAATTTGTTATTGGTTTTACTGTGAATAATTGGTTTATACTGTAAATATAGTTTTAATCGTTAAATTTTCCACCCCCGCTTTGTTGACTTTGTTTCGGTAGACTGATCTCAATGTAGGTCATACCAGGAGTTCATGTAAGGTCACAGAGTTCAATTTAAAAAGAAGTAGTCCCGGCAGACGTTATTTAGAATCCGGTGGGAAACGTTTTTACTATTGCTTATTCAAGCATAAAAGGTAAATTTGGCAATATAAAAATTGCACAATGCAAAAATTGGTATGCAAGGGTAATTTATTTGGTCAAATCATCTTTGTAAGTGACATGATATCATTACAATGATGGAATAAATGTTGGGAGAATTTGTTGATGTTTCCACCTCAAGTTGATAATGTCTCCTCAGAGCACGCGCTATCGTGATACGAGTTTTACGGATACGTTGAGGAAACAGATATAGCCGTAGGGAAGGATGATAAGTAGTAAAGTATGGTGTCATCTGAAAGTAAGAATTAAACCATTTTGAGTTTGATATTTTGTTATAAAGATAATTATGTTATGAGCCCTAACAGCGATATGCTTGTTCAAATATTATAAATATGAGAAGATCTGTGAAATAGTTAAGCTCATATGGTCGTCTGTTTTGTGACCTAAAATTCTTTAAATAGTACTTGTACACCCTTATTTACTGTGATCATATAGAGTTACGATTTTAGGTTGATGTGCCATAGTGACTGCAATCTTCTGTATGCAATAATGCATTATATGATTAATTTGATACATCGTCATGAACATGCATGACATATTTGCCACTGGAAGTTAAGCAACCAACAATCAATCAATCAATCAAAATTCCAGGATTTGGGATAGATTTTTGTTTACATTCGATTTCAGACCCTCTTCTATATTTGTCATATAAAACAAAACAAAACTTACTATTTCCTCCTTTTTTGATGAGCTTTTCAATATGTGCAACTTCAATAACATCATATTTCTTTAGCAAATGTCTGTCTTGGTCACTTTTCTTCAATGCCTCTTTTGCATTTTTAACTTTAGAAATTAACTCATTCAATTTGTCCCTAGTATATAGATGGTTGTGCTTAGATGTGTTATTCTCAGCAAATTGCTGAACTTCTTGATAGAATTTATCCTGTTGATCAACAATACTAGCCATTTTTTTAACACCTTAACTTTTACTTTTGTTAATGACCATGTGAAAGACCAGTTAACAGGAGTTCAATTTATAACCTCAAGGCAAATGAATCAATATGAATTTAAAAATAGTATTGAAAAGTTTTTATAGTGGGTATCAACTTGTACACAACAACTAATTCTGGAGGAAACAAAACAGGTTTTATCCAGAAAATTTCAATGACAGTTAAATATGGATAGTATTGGGTAGCAATACACAGTTAGAAATTTTTTTTTAAATTTACTCTCATAAATTTTACCATCCCCTTTTCCTTGCTTTCTTAGAAATTAAGTTTACTGTTTGTGTCGTACATGTATATATGTTTGTAATCAGTATCTTCCATAGATTTGATATCCAGTAGTTAAAATGGTAAAATATAATTTCTATTTGGTGTATCCATGGCAACAATCTGCATTTATTTTCTATAGAATAATGCAAAAAGGAGGGTAAAGATGTCACATATTTCCAAAAAATTTGGCCAGAAGTAGAATTTCAATCACTTGGAGTGATATCTTTTCTGAAACTGTTTACATATATCTATCAGGAAATCAAATAAAAATCATATGTCTTTCGTCTCATTTTTTTGGTAAAATTGCGTTAAAAACTTCGTGTAGAAGAAAAATGTTTGTAAACATTACATTATTTCTGGACCTACGGCCGGTCTAGCTATAAAAATACGGACATGCAGTCAAAACAGAAAATAGTCCATAAAACATGTAAAAAATACTCTTGATGTTCTTATAAACCACCTTTGAAGGCTAAATTAGTACTCAGCTGTCTAAAAATGAATTTTATTGCACAAAAACTTTCATATTTGAAAAATCCCCAGGGGCCAAAATGCGAAACCACACTCCTAACTGTGTATTGCTACCTTGAACAAGTGCAAGGTTGATCGAAAGCGGTTGCACAAATGTGATATACTGCGAAATAATCGGAATAATCGAATAAAAAGGAATAATAGTCTGAGGAAAAGTTCATATTCAACTCAGAGAAATAACTGTATTGTATACCGTCACTATATTAAGTAGATTGTGATGTTTTTATTCATTGCGCATTTAGATAAGACCTACTATTTTTAATACTAAGCCTAAGAAAATAACCATTTGGAAGAAATTAAAGTGTTTAAAACAATCAATTTTTTTTCTAAAGCAAAATACTGGTATTTTATTGAATTTCCATTATAATAAGTTCAAATAATGAGTTATTTTGAAAAATTCAATGAAAGAGTTAAATAGGGGTTTGTGTCATGGAAGGATACCCCATATCCTTTGTTTTTCTATTGTAGTATTGAATAAGTGCAAGGTTGGTTGATTGATTGCGGTTGCACAAATGGGATATACTGCGACGAGATAAAATCTGTATCGAATAATCGCATAAAAATGAATAATAGTTTTACTTGGACTGTTTGAAAATATAACATATTTCTGTGCTGGTTTTCGATGAAAAATTTGGTTTAGGGGTACAGGGAGTTTTATATCACGAAGTATGGTCAATTCTTCTCGCGACTTATTAAGTAGATTGTGATGTTTTTTATAAAAAAATTCAGTCATTGATATATCATTTCCATTGATTTAGGACGTAATCGTTAAAAGTTTCATCATTTGTGCAACCCTAAATTAAATTGTCAATGGAAAAAAGTTCAAAACAGTTGCCATATTTAGACATTTTTATATAATTATCAAAATTAATGTTCAATTTACTACAGATATATATATTCTATAAGCAAACTGACGCAAATTAATATCTGATTTGAAAAAAAAATAAAAACGTAAAGAAAATAATATTTTATTTTTTAAAACGTTAGTGTACAATTGCCAATGAGACAACTAACATGGTTTCAAGCTACTATAGGTCACCGTACGTACTTCAACAATGAGCAAAACCCATACCGTATAGTCAGCTATAAAATGCCCCGACATGACAAAACGTGTTTAAAAAAACAATTTAAACAACAAATGCAACTCAGAGAAATGACTCAATTCTACACAGTCACTATATTAATTAAAAGTGATGTTTTCAATCATTGCACAATTAGATTAGACAAACGAATTTAAACAAAGCACAAGCAAATAAAAGAAAGAGAAATTTAAGGGTTTAAAATAAGTTTTATAAACAAACATTGGTTATTTCATTGAATTTTCATTATAATAAGTTCAAATCATGAGTTATCGGGCATAAACTTGTTTGTTTAGGAGTTTCATATGTCCGCAGACAACAAAACCTTCTTTAACCTCATCATTTCCTGTACGAAATCCCTTTTTATTGTCATATCTATGAAGTTTAGATGGTTGATTTTCTCAGGTATGGAACAATCTTCTAAAACAATTGGTATTACACAATTAATGTCTTTTGAATCTAGATTTAATGATTTAAATACGGCTCGATCTGCCTCGTACTGACACCAACTACTGGACACGAAGTGATCCGTTAGAATAAGGATGACTTTGTTACTTCTTTTGATAGCACCAATGATATTATCCAGTATAGAAATACCTGGTATAAAATCTCTGTCGGCAATGCAACCTGTAATGAAATGAAAAAATTACATCATGTAAATAATATGACTATAGATATTAGTAGAGTTTCTTAATGTCGGTTTTCAATCATGCTGAGACTTTGAGCGCATATGTTAAGACACATACTGTACATTTTAACTATTTTGAGTTTCGAAATTTATTTCTAATATCCATGAAGATCTTAATTTATTACCAAAACTTGTTTTTATTAATTCAATTCAAAATTCTAACTTGTCTTGTGTTAACTTTCCTATCCATAGATTAATAACTAAATTTTAATTCGTTGATGCTTAGTTTCTCCACTTACTAGTAAATAAAAAGTTTTATCAAAGGAATTACATACATTCACTTTGAAAACGAACAGGACTTAAATAGTGGTTTCGTCGTTTTATACAAACTATAATAGGTAAAATCTTAAAACATGTAGTTTTAATGTGACTAGAAATATTCATCCGATAACGCCTTGAAAGCCATGTACGAAGTCCTGAAAATAGGAAGTATGTAGCAGCTTTCTGTAAAATGTCAGCTTGATCTTTTTGATCCCATTCTGTTATATGGGTGCGAAGAAATTATGTTTTTTTTAGTATTTATGAGATATAAGAAAAGATTAATATAAAATTCTGTAAATTAATTTTAAATCTGAAAACCTCAACACCAAATTATATGGTGTACAGGGAACTCCCCATCCGATCAACCTGGATATAAAACTTCGAGCAGTATTATTTTGGGCAAATTTGATATCCGGTAAGGACGCAAAGTATTCTTTTTATTATATTAAGTTTTTTGCCATATGCACGCTCATCATAACATGCAGTCTAAATGGATTATGGTTGTACAAAAATATTTTTAAATGGTTTCGCATATATATGGGAAACACAAAATTTCATTTATAAAAACTTGATTTAAACCTGTTATAAAGCAAAAATTATCAGACCAGTTTCTTCAGAATTGAAATTCGCTCATCCAAAATTCGTCAAAAGGTATTAGCTACAATTCTAAAAGAAAAATCAGGAACTCAAGGATTATATAAATATACTGAACTTCAGAGATGCTATTGATCTCTGTCGATTTCGAAAGTTTAACAACAAATTGTCGATGATTGAAATAGGGAGGTAGCAAAACGTAATAAAAGAGAAACTTTTTGCCGCCAATGTAACAATCGACAAATTGGAGACGAATATCACTATGTTTATATTTGTATGCATTTTTTTCGAAAAAGAACGTAAAATCCTCATCTTTTATAACACGTCATAATACAGTTTAATTATCCCAACTTATGGTCAGTCCCGAAGAAGCTTTGTTCATTTATAAAAAAAAAACATTAAGGCTTTTTTTGTCCTCCTGGCAAGTGACTTTTGTAACCACTCTCCCTTGTTTTGTATATATTGTAAATAGCTGTTGCTGTTGTTATCTCTGTACCAATGCTATTCATTGGCTTTACGAGAATAAAGATATGAAAGTCAAGATTTTTCATTTCTTCATTTCTGAATTGTTATAAGTTGTACATGTATGAATTTGAATTGTAACTAATGAAAAATAATAAAGAAAAGCTCATGTTTAGCATTCATGATGAAGTTAAATCCCGAAAAGCAAATTTACACGCACCAAATTTATAATGTGCTAGAAAGAGAGAAGCAGAAGATACCAAAGGAACAGTCCAACACATAAATCAATGACAAACTGACAACGTCATGGTAAAAAACGAAAAACAACCAAAACGGCAAACAACAGCATACAAAACACAACATAGAAAAATAAAGACTGAATTACACGAACCCAGCCAAAAAACGATCTCAGGTGCCCCGAAAGCCGGTTAGTAGATTTTGCTCTACATGTGGCACCCGTTGTGTTATGCATGTAAGTACAAAATCGATGCTAAGTCTTATTCTGTGATGTCACAAACAAGGAAAATGACGACGGGATTATGGTTGGAACATATCCGTCGTCATCTTTAAAACAGAAAGATAAAGAAGACGGGATTATTGTTGGAACATATCCGTCGTCATCTGTGAAACATATAGTCCATAAAGGTTAACCCATTCGTGAAGACGTCCTTAAAATTTTCGATGGGAATGACTTCAACTTCACTTCTTTGAACCCATTGGTTTAACAGCTTGCTTGTAGGCAGCAACCCTCTATCAAAGAAATCATGATAGGAAATGCAAGTTCTAGTATATCGTATCAACTATGAGATATAAACTCATGCATATACAGGCGTTGCTGTCATTATCTAGTTGACTGTTATGTTAGTCCTTGAGAGTATCATTAGCTCAGTATTTATGAAATAATTTTCTAATAATGAAAATAGCACTGTATAAATTAAATCGTCCGAAGCACTTTTCTTGATATACCTCCATCAGGGACGCTCAAAGCACAAACAATGAAGGCCAAAGATGATAAATTTTTCGTTGAAAAACTTAGAAATTATTAAGAAATCGAAAGTTTGATGATTATCAAAGTGACATCTATCATATTAAGAACATTTTATACAATATTTTGACCCTACTTTCTTACCGTTACCATATTAAGTCATTTCCAATTTTACGATGACCAATACCGTTACGTTACCATAACATCAATCTACTATATAAGACCCCATTTACACTAGCTTTATTTTAAATCGATCTAAATAAAACCAGTTAGCGTTATCTTTAATCCTAAATTAACGATCTCTATCGGTCTAATCGGAACCACTGCGTTCACATTACAAGTAAACATGCAATCGATCTGACCTCATTACTCGTGAAATTGTAAACACTGTGTATAAATAGAAATGTTTAATCAAATTAATGTGTTGATACACACTCTTTAAAAATTTATTGGTTCACTTTAATTACAAGTTCAAATTTTGATACTTCTGTTCGTAAAGTTTTCGATCATTTTCAGCCCTTTTATGTTGGTCATCCATTTTGTAATAAATTGCAATTGTAATTTTGTCGCCATACATGCGCACACATTATTTTTGATTCAATCGTATTAGTTTAGATCGATCTCTGTGTTTACATTTAAAGTTAGATCGGTTCACTAAGATCGATCCAAACTAAACTACGTCTTTTGTAGTTTTAGTTTAGACCGATTCAAGATCGATTCAAAGCGTTCATATTGGTCTAAAATCGATCTAAAATGAACCGATCTTGTTAAATCGAGCTAAATGTCCATGTGTGAAGGGGTCTTAGTTTCCGTTTTTTGACTAAGAAATTAGGCTTAAATTTAAAATTCATAAGTCAGTCATGTCATTTAGATGATTAAGTTTTAAGGTAAAACATGCTTTAACAAGTTAACCTAAAATTAAAAATTACTAATATTTTACATAAGAAAAAGTTTTATTTATATATCTATTGTTTTTGTTATTAAAGAAATAATTAAAAATATATGTTTTATTTTATTATTAATTGTAATTTGTCAGTCGATTTCGGCCTGCTTATGCACAACTCCGGCAATGCCATATACCACCAAATGCATTGTCAACAGTTAACATGTAGTTTCTCTCGACATGTAAAGTTCCAGTGATAGCTCTCGCAGAAGTCGTTCTCCTGTTGAGTCTGAGCGGATAAAACAATTATCAGGCCATACTACATAACTGATATATCATACGTCTCCTCTCTGTTCTAATACAAGTCTAAAACTCCGTGACTGTATTTGTAATAACAAATGTTCTTAAGGTGGTACATAACACTACAGGGAGATAACTCTGATAAAATTAGTGTTTGTCAAACTGCTATATATACAATGAAATTTTTCTAATGAAGTGTGTGGTTCAATTTTTTTTGAAATTTTTATTTTTTTGTCAAAGGGTCAAAGTAGATATTTTGTCAAAATTTTATGAAAATTAAACAAGCCGAATCAATTTAAGTCAAGGTGTTTGGTACCAACTTCAATATATCCTTTTTATTAATTTACATATAATTTTTAATTAATTTATATTCACCAGAATATTTGTTTTACCTCAATAATAAACGGATAAGTTCGTTACATGAAATAACTCAGTTCGTTTTGGCTTGTATATTAATGAGGAAGAAAAAAATCAAAAGTGTCTTTTTCTTTGAAATAAAATACTTCAATTATTGAAATTGCGTGATGTGTCCAGATGAGGTTCAGGGGTTTTAAGTTTATTGTAAATTACCTTTAAACGCTACATCTTGCTCATCAAACTGGCTCTCTAGATGTCTGAGTAGAATGTTTGTCACCCAGTCTTCATCTTTATGACTGTGTGATACGAAAAAGTCAAACTCAAATTTTCTGGAGCATGCTTTTCTACCCTCAGCTAGAGGTTTCAAAGATGTCTGATGAAACGTTTCTGAGAGTACATACTCATTTACTTGTCGTGGTATCACATCTTTCAAAATGGTTTCTAATTTTGAATACTCTTCTAAATCTTCTGTATATGCAATACTTGTCCAAATTTGTATGCATTCACTCAGAATCTCTTTTTCTGTCGTTCGAAGTGTAGTCTTCGTTTCCGCAATAATTGCTTTTATCAATATCAAAAGTCCTTTTTTGTTTTTCTTATACAGCTTTTTGATGCTCCAATCGATATCCTGGTATTTTCTTTTACCATATATAAGAGCGTACAAAAATTCTTTTACGAGTTGATCAAAGGGTATCTGCAAATCATCTTCGAACATTGTCACCATATAAATACATAGTAAGTAAAACGACATCTGGGTTGAAGGTGATGAAAGCAGCCAAGCTTTATACTCCCATTCAATGGCATGAGCGTATTCACCGAGATCGAAGAGACATGATGCCTTTCTGGTAGCAAAGTGAAAATCAGGTCGATCTCCTAAATAAGACGCGTATAACAGATAGTCTAAAGCTTGATGTAAGAGACCTTCAGTGTGTACACATTTTCGCCCATACTTATAAGTGCACGGAAACTTTGCAAGTTTCTGACAAATTTCTGCCAAGACATTCATATCTTTTTGTGTATTTTGTGATTTGAAAATTGTTTCTCCATCTTGTTTCGCATCCAACAGATATTTTTCTGCTAAAACGGAATCTCTTTTAGTGTTACTTTTACCTAGGATGTCGGATATGTCTTTCCTAACATGCATTCAAGTTGAGAGGGCAAACCTATTTCCAGTGTCTTCCGTATCAATTGAACGTGTAAGAATATCATTTGCCATGTCAAGTAATCTCAACTTTTCTCTATTGTCATCAATATCCATTGATTCATTCCATAAAGTCCTTCCATATCTAGTTAAAACAGTTACATCATTGTTTTTAAGCCTATAAGCCATTTCTGCAGCCTTAACCGGATTATCTGTATAACGTTTAAAGCTTTTATTTGTATTTAAGTTAAACGCGTTTCCGGAAGACCGAACCATATCACCACGTTTGATCAGTATGTGTCCGATGTAGGAATAAGACCTTGCAACAAATGTTCTGACTATGGGACTTTGAGTTTGAGATATCATCCAAAAGTTTTCAATTGCTTTTAATGTAACTTTTTTCATTTCTTTTGTAAAGTCATCTTCAAATTTTGCAGCCTGTCCCGATTCATGTATATTTCTGTTTAATTTATTTATTGCATCTTTCCCATGATCTTTACGTATAGTTTCCAAAGAATCGTAATACTGGTTTAATGCTTTAGCATAGTAGTAATTCCATATAATGTCAGGAAAAGATGCATCTAATGCCTCAGCTAATTTGAATTTTTGAAGACTAGATCCTTTTCGTACTAGATCTCCGTCCTCGGTCTCGTCTTCATTCGCAATTCGGACATTACGTAAGACTTGGATTTGGTGATGAAGTCCTCTTTCAAAACAATCTTTTCTCCTTCCCTGACTTCTTTCAAGTTCAGTGCTAAGAATTTTGTGTAAATCAGTTATCCTTAATTCCACTGTACTTTGGTTGATCAGTGTTCGCTCTATCATAATTGCATATCCTTGTTCAAGCAAACATATTTGCTTGCAACGTATGTCATTCTTGGAGGTACCTGAAAGAATTTCTTGATATTTATGTTTGCAGGCCTCTGCATCCTTACTTCGATCTAGCTCTGTATAAATACACTCCAAATCGGCTAGTACGTTTAGATTGTCTGGGGACTTCTTTCTTATATCTTCAAGATCAAATCTGGCTTCTCGTCGTTCTCTTGGTATTTTAGTCTTGAGTATAGCAATAATATTTTTCTGAACGTTTTCGACAATAGGATGTTCTTTAATTAAAAGTTTTTCAATATTTTGCTTTGCGTCTTGAATCACGTGCATGTCAAGAGCGTTCATTATGTTCAGATTTAAGCGTATTAAACCCGGATTTAACTCCAACTTTGTATTAAAATCCTGAAATTCCTTCGAAACAGATTCCATTTTTTCTTGTTCTGTTAACAAACCTAAATATTGTTATAAAATCCATGTTCATTGAATTGACGAGAGTAAAACTAGCACACAAGCTAAGATATATTTTTTTAAACTATAAGAAGATGAATCTTCTTAGATTCTTTAAAATGATAATAAAGACGGATTACGAGAAACATGTTGTGATCAGATTTTATTATTTTCTGTGCAAAAAAGTGGAATTGTTAACTTTCTATTTATATTTCGGTTCGTATTTTGCCATTTATTATGAACGTATACTTTGATGTCTTTGTGTCTGTTCGTTAATGTGGGCAAATTTGGCATTGACGAAATTCTGCCAACTTCTGTCATGTTGATGACACATTTTGTTATTACACTTATTATTAATTCTGGTAAGGAATAACTGTAATATTTTTCTGTCTATGAAGAAATAAAAATTGTGGTTCACACTAAATAATCCGCGTAGCGCGTTATTTCAAAGTGTGAACCAAATTTTTGAGGTCATTTCGAAATGACTAAAAATATTACAGTCATTCCTTATAACTCAATTCCAAATTCCATTTTTTAAGGAGTAAATTATGAAAAAATATTGATGACGTCATGGTCACATGACAACAATTTGTTTATGAGCTGATAGACAAAAACCTTCAGCCAATCGGAAGACGTATTACACCCAAAACTATATTAAATTTCACTAATTATAAGTTTATTTAAAGGATCGATAAGTTAACATAGATCGCAATTAATTAATTTAAGATAAGGATGTGATATCCCTTTTGTAATAATATTAGAAAAAGGTATAACCAACGTTACTTCCAAACCTAAATTGTTTGCACCTGTCCTAAGTCAGGAATCTGATGTTCAGTAGTTGTCGTTTGTTGATGTGGTTCATGAGTGTTTCTCGTTTCTCGTTTTTTATATAGATTAGACCGTTGGTTTTTTCGTTTGAATGGTTTTACACTAGTAATTTTTGGGGCCCTTTATAGCTTGCTGTGCGGTGTGAGCTAATGCTCCGTGTTGAAGACCGTACTTTGACCTATAATGGTTTACTTTTATAAATTGTGACTTGGATGGAGTGTTGTCTCATTTGCACTCATATCACATCTTCTTATATCTATCCTAATATATGTATCTATGCAGTTGTATCGGTTCTCGTATTTATTATCAGCATAGTAAATTTGTGTCTATCCAAGCAAATGTTTGTCACCTATGTAAAATCCCAAGTGATACTGTACGCGGCTTTACAAAGATCAATTAAGAATTTTTTTAAAATGTCATCAATAACATTCTTTTTTTATTTAACATTGTAACTTGTATAGTTACGTCCCCTTAAATGTATTGATTTATGACTACGGGTGGATCCCCCCCTTATTTTTTTTAAGAACTTAGAATTTCAAAAATGAAGTACACACATTTTGAAATATGATCAAGGTCTAGTGATTTTACCACAATAACATCGTAATATGATGTTGTGTCATGATATTATTATGACACACCATACAACCGACCTGTATCGTCTTCTTCTTCTTCAAAACCCGATCGATACGATATGCGTGTAATCCAAGCTGTTTATTCTGATTAATGTATGCCAATTGGTGTTTCCGTAACCGCATGATTTACTCATCTAACACAGAAAAATACACTTACTGAAATAGTCAACAACACAGACTATCTTTACACAAACTGTGATAGCTTTACTTTTTCTCACCGGTTTTACAGAAAAATGGCGATTGTTAAGGTTCATTTGAATGTTCATAAAATTAAAACTCAAAGTGCATGAACTTTATCTTACTGCTTAATTTTTTTTTAATTTTCAGTAGTATTATTGGGACTGGCAGAGTTACGACTTTGCCTTTTTAAAAGGGGTTCAGAAAGGGGTTTTACTGCACATTTTGAATCAATAATATCGGTTTAAATAAAAGGAGGAGATATTAATAGATCAGATATGTTGAACACAAAACATCAGCCTCATTTATAAAAAATCTAAGGAATACATTTTACAGAGTTTAATTTGTTGAAATTTATAATATGGTAATTTAAATATATATATATATATGTATGCGTGTATTTATATCCTCGAAAAAAAATGAATCTTTTCAACAATATCATAATAACCAAATAAACTTACGATAATATTGCTTCAAGTTGTAACAAGTTGATTCAAATCCAACCAGAAATGACACCATAATATTCCATATTCAGCATAATATACAGAATATACAGAATATCACACAGAATATTAAAAGCTAACGTCACAGTACCCAAATTGCACCGAGTACCCAAAATTGCACCTATTCAAAAAATCAGCTGCGGAAATCTTACAAGTTTTCTTTGTTGCTAAACAATTTGTATTTTCATGATTTAACATTATACACGTCTTTCAACATAGGTAAATATATTTAAATATACACAAAACATTCATAGTACATATCAATAGATGAAGCATTCACTGGAAAAAGTAAAATCTACGTACACGTCGCCATGCGACGTTCACAAAAAGTCATCTTTTAAAAATGAGCAAATCAAATATGTTTCAAGCATCCGTTTCTTAAAAAATAAATAAAGTAAGCATTGACTTATGACAAATTGTTTAAATATTTGAAGAAATAAAACAAAACATCTGTTATTCGATTTTTAAGAATGTGAATTTAAGCATGGATGCAATTTAGGTACTCATCATTACAGAATCATGGATCGTTTGGAGGTCGGTCAAACCCATATTTCTATGATTCAATATGGATTTAAAATTGAATTAGTGTAACTATATAGAAGATAAGGATACGTCTACAAAATAAACACGGAATGGAAACTTTTGTCTGGATCATTAAAAAACGTAGGTGAAAAAACTGTCAAAATAGGAGCAATTTGGGTACCCTCACGCTATACAAATGCACGAAAAAACAAAACATGTTATATAAAATTAACCCCAATCAAGCCCAGTGGCGGATCTGTGACTTAAAAAAAGGGGCTCTAAATGGGCTCACCGAAAAGTAAGACCCAACAGTTATATATCATTATTAACCCCTCCTCCTTAACCCACCTTTAGAGCTTTTTAGAATAAATAAGTGATATCTTAGACTATTATATATAAAAGACAAAAGTAGCAGGTAATACTGACTGTACTTCTTTGTCTAGTCTATTTTTTTCTGGCTACATAAGTTTTAAGGTAAAACATAGCTCCTTAAAGTTATATGGGTGCTTATAAAATATAAATGCAATTCACATACCTTACAGTTTATACAGAACTATGAACATGTGTCTACAGAACAGAATTGATAATGATACAATACTATACTATCAATACATATAGAAAATATGCAGACAATATTCCAATAAATAAAACAAAAGAGATGACGCAAAATATAACGTCAAGTGTTTTAGACAAGTCTTTTCCTGACAAAGAATTGAAATTTGAATTTTTATTTCCCTCCAAATTGTTCTTCTCTACCTGATGTCGCTTTAATCGCAATGTTAAACGCCTTAAACATGTATTCGCATGGCTTATATCTTCCATATAGTAGTAGTATGAACTCACTATAGTCAAAATAACAATTACACCACTAATCATCATTATTAACACAAGAACTAGAAGAATGATGCACAAAGGGTCCGATTTTGCTGGGATTGAAGCCGATACTATGGTAAGAAATATAGCGTAAGCCAGTAGAATTGTCATTCCTAAAGAAATTCGTTCTCCTGATTCCACAGGGAGACAGAATATAAGTGGATTCATTAGACAAAACAATAGTGTGGGTAATATTACGGTTACAACGTAGTAAACTGGTTTACGTTTAATGTAAAGTCCAACAAAAAACGATGACGAATAGTTTCCCCTCAATACAGACTGTTGTGTATCAATAAGAGTCCAATCAGAATTGGCATAATAGTAAGTCAGATCTGGAACATTAGAATTAATAATATATTCCACTTCTCCAGGTGGAATACCCCACATAATGAAAGAAAACAAGCAGAACTGTGTATCGAAAGGAAAGTTGGATACATCAGGCGCACACTGTGCCTCAAACACTCCACCTGGGCTCCAGTAAACCGCTCCCGTGGCTGCTACAATCGCATAGAAGTTTGCTTCTTGTCCAATGGGTTTGACATCGTTCAGACTATTAGAAAGGTAGAGATACGGGAGCCAGACATTATGTGGCGGTAACGTTAACAAATAAACATTATTATATAAACTTGGATTCCATGCTAATCTAGGATCCGTCCAGTTTAATGATAAACTCATTGTCGTTATAATTTTTTCTTCAAGTTCTACAAACGACACTACTGATATTAGTGCAGCATTGATGTTAAGTTTGAGAGGTGTGGGTACATCCCATGTTGGAAGTAATTCCTTGGTATAATTTTGAAATAAATCCTTGTAGATATTATTTGAGCCTAAAACTACAGCTCTTTCCATGAAGATGCAAAGTAATAATAACGAGAACAGTTGCATTGCTAAACTATTGCTGCAAATCCTTATCATAACGAGTATGAAAATTTAAGAACGAATTGACCGGTATAAATCACGACTATCCTAACAGTTATTGTAAGTAATCACATAATAAATACAGTGATTTAAGTTTTGTACTAGAACCGGTTCAATGAATATTTAAACTATTATATTTACTCGTTTAGTCGAATATTGACAGTGTGTATTCTTTAAAATACAATAATCTCTCTTTTAAATCGCATTTAATGGCAAAAACTAGTGTCAATAAAATCACTTGAGACCGATGAAAATGGTGGATTTCTCTATTCGAGAATTGGATAACACATTAATATTCGATATAACGGTATTGTGAAATGTTTTTAAAAAGAACAAATATCAAGCAAATGCCTATTTACATATTTTTCATGTTCTCTCTCCTTCTCCACGTCTCATATGATACTTTTTACGTTATTTATAAGTTATTTCACATTAATTGTATCAGCTTTAAGTTAACAACAATACTGCAATCAACTCAGATCCCAATCTGGTTTTTTTCTACAATTATTGAATATATGTGCGAGTCTTCCATGGGGGACTGTACCGTCTACCTGTAACTCATTTTTAGAAGCATTTTTTTTATGTATCGTCATCTTACTATCCCATCACAACAAAGTTTCGGATGGGGTATTGTAACAGGGCCATCTGTCTGCTCGTAACATAATTGTGGACATATAAGTTTCTGTTTCTAATCCAGTCTTCTCCAAATTTGGCTTGCACATTCAGTAAAAGAAGTGCTAGAAATCTATTGATTTTCCAAGTCAAAGACCAAAGTCACATGGATATTAAAGAAGTGCTTCCGCAAATTGACCCACAGGAACTATATCATCCACGGATATCTGATTTGCATTATCATGCTATTCAGACGCAGGTCGTTTTAACAACGCTGGGTATATTTGGTACGTAAAGTATAGGTTTTTTTGTGTGGGGAGGGTGGTTCAAAACGACAACAATACACATCAATGCAAAACGCGGGTAAATAGAGTCCGATTCATTTCCCATAAGACTGTTCTCCTTGGTGGTAAAACATACCAAAATCTGTGGTAACACAATTTACCGTAAACCGGAAAACTTGGGGTGAAAGTGTAGAATAATTGACCATATTGTCGTGGGATACAAAATACTAGTTGAATATCTAATTGATGAATTAAAAAGGCTTTAAAGTAATGGGTACATTTTAGAGGCACCCGAGACCCAAATTAACATACATTGTAGAGACATGTACCGCTCTTTTCAATAGACATGATATATCATTTGCTTAACAACCTTAGCTTTTAAAATATAGTTTATTTCATTATTGCATTTTTATCAAGGTAACAGGTCTGAGGCTCGTCATCTGAAAAGACGAAGTACATTATGGTCTCTCGTTACTGGTTTTGAGACTTGCCCTTACTTTTTACCAGTCGGTGCAGGTGTTAGTCGTATGTTTGGCCCGCCGTAACTACTTAAATGAAAAAAAATATCCTAGTTTATCTAATTTAAACTAAGATTTTCTCAGCTTAATCCCCTTTTATCTCATCTTCTTTCAAATTCGAGAAAATCCGGAATTTTCCGCGTATGTGTAGACAGTAATTAACATTGTTTATTGTCTTAATTTTGATTGGGCTATAACAAATACATATCGGACTATAATTGCGGGGACTATTTCCCAACATTTCTGGTATGACTTTCCATTAAACGTTTACTATGTCGTAACCGTAATACTACCTACATTATTGTTTTGTCTTTTACATCCACTTATATTTTGTCTCCCAGTGAATAAAAGGAACGACATGTCTTTAGGTATGACAAATCGACTGGCTTTCACTTTATTTCTAACCATATAGCGGCTTCAATCCCAGCAAAAATCGGATCATCGGCATCATTCTTTTGTTTCTGGTTTAAGTAATGATTGTAAGTTGTGTAACTGTAATTTGACTATTATACTTAGTGCATATTATATCGAGGATAAAAGCCATGGGAATACACGTTTAAGGCGTTTGACATTGCAATTCCATCGAAAACAGCTTGAAAATACAATTTGCAGGTAAAAACAAATAAAATTCAATTCTTTTTCAGGTCTTAAAGTCTTTGAGTTACTTTAAAAAATACAAGTCGAAGCGAAACTGAAAACCCAATTGCAAAAAAAGAAAAACGACGAAAAAACAAGCAACAGTCTATAAAAAACCTACAAAGAAAAAGAAAGACAGAGCAACACAAGCCCCACCAAAAAAACCGGGGTGATCTAAGATGCACCGGAAGGGTATGCAGATTCTGCACCTCATGTGGTACCCATGTGCTAATGATTAGTACAAAGTAGAAAAGAGGTCGTTAATTGTCACTTGTTAATTTTTTGTTTGTCTGTTCTCAGATCGGTAATTGCATCCTAATTTTCTCTTTGTTCTCATTTTATGCATTTTAATCATTTACTATAGCTTCACAATAATTCGTTTGAGACAGAATAGATTTTCGGGACATTAGGAATATTGAAATTTCCAATAAAATATATAAAGTCTATATTTTTCTTTACAATCATAGTCATTTACTCAAATCTCGTTAGTTTACCAAGTAATTAATTTGATAGATTAATTGATTTGGTGTTTAATTGTGATGCTGACACATAATTGACTGCTAAATCTAATTTCACAACATTTAATAGTTTGTCGCCTTATTTTTATTATGAAAAGTTTGCAAAATTTGTACGGAATAAGAAAAAATGTCATCACATGTTCTCTGGTTTTATTATATCTCTAGAGAATGATGGGTGAGGGTATTCCTAATAATAAGAAAATATCTGTAGAAGGGTACCTGTCCGTCAGAATACTAGTATACATGTCGGGCTTTGAATGTATGTGCCGTGATGGGTGCATGTTGAAGTATATGAATACGATTTAAGACATATTTGATATGATATCAATTTTATATTATAAAGATAAAGATATATTTATTTCAATTAAAGGTCCCATGATAAGCAAGTATGAAAGAATAAACTATAAGAATGGAATAATATTGAATACAGCGTCAATTTTGGTTGTATCAATCAAATTGAAAAATCAGGTTACTAGGTAAGTAAGTAAGACATGAAGATATTTGGAAGTGTTTCAATAAAATTGTTATTGTTATATATATTGAGTATGAGGCCACATTCTCAGAATTAACTTCTGTAGGTAAAAAAACTCCGGCACCAAATTTATAAAGTGTTAATTTTAATTGAATATGTTGACAACATTTTTCTGCTCACATTAAAATACTCTAAAATCACAATAATATATTATTGTCATAAGAAAAAAAGGTGAATGATTGTTGCTAACTTTAATAAAAAATTTAATGACCGTTAATAAATCCCACCATTTTCAACTTTTCGACTTTCCCCCTTCCTATCTAACAATTGGCGTATTTATTTTTGTCTATTACATTTCTTCTCGTCCTGACTTTTCAAATCCATAATCAATTAATCAGCCTGGTGCCGAGAAGAGTTTTACCAAAGTCTTAACAGAAGAGATGTGCTAAGGGAAGAATAAAAGAATCACACAATTTTTTTGTTAAAAAAAATCATAGGTACGCCTATCTCAAAATATGACAAAAATACAGTTTGTGAAAACCACCGGACGTTAAGCAAACAACAATCAATCATCGACATGTCCTTATATTCATATATTTAATACAGTTATAATCTTTCCATACATCTTTGGAAATGCCATAAACGTATGAAGTTACAAAACATAGTAGATCTTAAACTCTTGTCACATAATCTGTACAGTACATTTTTAGAAGTGAGCATGATTTTGTCAGCTTATTTTTGGTTTTGACCATGACCTGTCTTAATTTACAAACCTACATGGAATTAAAATTTTAACAATCAGTTACATTTTATGTGTATTGGAAAGTAACATTATTTCATGATAAAACTTTCTACAAATCCAGATTTTTCATAGAGAAACTGTGTGCTAGTGTGTAACCATCAGACGCCACACCCTTTTCCTTCACGGAAATTGGGGGTTGGGGGAAGGGGGCAGATAAAGAAAGAAATAGAGAAACAAAACAACATGATTGGGACTACAAATAGTAGTTAACCCCTCGATGTCAATTAATTATTTAACACGACTGCAAATATATTATCTTTCTCGACTATGTATACCTGTTTATTTATTTTAATTCTTCATAAAAAATGATCCCAAGGACGGACTGGGGTATAGAAATTTGTTCACCTACACCTCTCTTGTCTAGCAATAAAAACCATGCAAAGATCTGGCGGTTTGTTTTGCTATGCGGAATGTACGTATTTTTTTTACCCGGATCCGATCCTTTCATATTTTCCTAGAGACAGTGCAAATCCTCCGCCTTAGATTCGATCGACCCATTTTGCAGAACCTTCTTACTGGATTTATTGATTTGTTCCCCGTTCGGAATGAAACCCAAAGGGTGGACTAGGGTGTAGAAATAAGGTCATTCCTGAACTTCTCCCATCCAACAGTGAAACACATGCTTAAGATGGGGCGTCCATTCGGCTTTGTGGGATGTATTAATACGCTGCCACGCCCGGTTGGAACGGGGACGTTAAGGTGGCTCGGCCCTTTAACAGTGTGCATATTTTAACGCATGTTACTAACGACGAGCGCCTTGGAAACGGTCGCCTTGAGTGGTTTTCTCAAAAATAGTTTTGACGACATTGGAACGCGGGCGTGTATGAAAGCACCCTTTCCCGATGTCAACAAACCATGCAAAACGTTCTACTAAAGCCACAAAACAGGAAATACGTACGGTCAGGACTACAGAGTGGTTTGTTCATTTTTCGCATAAAAAGGACAGAATTATACATGATATATTAAAGCATAACATTAAAAAAAAAGAAAATATAAATATTGACTTGTACGACGGTATCTGCCGGGTGCGTTCGCTCCAAAAACACATTCTCACCCTACACGTTCGCCCCTTGGATCCGTTCGCACCCTATTTTCATTTAAATACTGGTTGAATATATCAAAAGATGTCTTTT